CTTCTTCAGAAAACCTACTTTCCAGTCCAATGGTAAGGCCCTTTCAGAAAACAGGTAATCAATGAGAAATGAGAGTAGTACAGATAAGGATTTTTATGTAATACAATGAAACTGATTTATTTAGTGTTTACTGAGCATCCACACCTTCATTAACAAGTGCATTATTAACTAGTTATAAGTAATTTATAAGTGTATCCTTAGTGTTAAGTGTTAACTGTTTTTCTCTTTTTGAAAACAAGTCTTTAACTTTTAACAGTGTTTTTATTTTTACATATTTAGAAACAATCAAAACTAAAAGCAAATTAGTCTCCAAATACAATACATGTTTCTTTGTACTTATCAGAGGTATATAAAGTACTTGAAAGAAATAACTATGTAAGTGAGTAAAAAYGCTTTAACAGAAAATGACAGGTAAAAATTAATTTCACTGATAAGAAAAGTCTTGGGGAAGGGGTGTTTCACTACCAACACTGTGGTGGGTGTAGTGTGCTGATGACCTCAACTAGGAACGTGGGAAGAATACTTTAAGAACCTCCTCAATCTCACCAGCACATCTTCCAATGAGGACCCTGGGTTGGGCTCTCCATTCTCCAATGCTGAGATCACCGAGGTGGTTAAAAAGCTYCTTGGTGGCAAGGCGCCAGGGTGGATCAGATTCGTCCAGAGTTCCTTAAGGCTTCGACTGCTGTGAGGCTGTGTTGGTTGATGTGACTCTACAGTAATGTGTAGACATTGGGGGCAGTTCCTCTGGATTGGCAGACAAAGGTTGTAGTCACCCTATTTAAATAGGGGGACAGCAGAGTGTGTACCAACTGATAAGGTATTTTCAGGGGTCCTGGAGAAGAGGTTTTGTTGAATAGTCAAATATCAGATTCAGGAAGAGCATTGTGATTTTCATCCTGGTCGTGGAACACTGGACCAGCTCTATACCTTCAGCAGGGTCCGGGAGGGTGCATGGGAGTTTGCTCAACCAAATGTTTTGTTGACTTGGAGAAGGTGTTCAATCATGTCCCTTGGGGAGTCCTGTGGGGGGGTGGGGGTACTCTGGGACTATTGGGCGGCTGTGGTGGAGTGGTAAGGGGAGTCATCCTGGAACCGGAAGGTTGCTGGTTCGATCCCCTGTCCAGCTGTTTCAGTCATGTCCTTGGGCAAGACACTTCACCCACCTTGTTGCTTATGGTGGTCTGAGGGTCCGGTGGTGCTGGTGCATGGCAGCCCCGCCTCTGTCGGTGTGCCCCAGGGTAGCTGTGGCTGCAGTGGAGCTTACTGCCATCAGTGTGTGAATGTGTGCATGGGTGAATGTCTGAAGTGTAAAACGCCTTGGGGTCAAAGTGGACTTGATAAGGCGCTATATAAGTTCAAGGTTTTACCTTTATCTTTTCCTATGGGGTACCAAATCCTTTGATACATGCTGTTAGATCCCTGTACAACCAGTGCCAGAGCTTGTCCAGCATTGCTGGTAGTAAGTCAGGCTAGTTTCCAGTAGAGTGGGACTCCGCCAAGGTTGCCCTTTTTCATAGATTCTGTTCATAAGTTTTATGGACAGAATTACTAGGCACAGCCATGTTGTTGAGGGGATCTATTTGGTGACCTTAGGATCCCATCTCTGCTTTTTATGGATGATGTGGTCCTATTGGCTTCATCAGATCAGGATCTCCAGCTCTGACTGGACCAGGTCGCAGCCAAGTGTGAAGTGGACAGGATGAGGATCAGTGCCTCCAAATCCGAGACCATGGTCTTGAGAAGGAAAAGGGTAGCGTGCCTCCTCCAGAATGGGGAAACGGTCCCGCCTTAAGTGAAGGTGTTTAAGTATCTCAGGGTCTTGTTCACAAATGAGAGAAGAATGGAGCTGGAGATTGATTGGCGGTTTGGTGTTGCATTTGGAGTGATGCGGGCGCTGTATTGATCTGTCATGGTGAAGCTCTGAATTTACCAGTCGATCTATGTTCCTACATAAATGGCTTTCTATTTACTCAACTCGGTTTAGTGGAACCAGTTGGCAAATGCAGGGCAGCATCAAGAGCGATGAACTTGAAGGAATAACGTGGATGGAGTCAAATATCTTGTCTCTTCATCTCCTCTCTTTATTTAGCAGAATGGCTAAACTGAGCATCTTACATTGCTACACAAATTGATTTTCTGTCATTTTTCTTCTCAACAGGCAAACAGCATGCCTATGAACAGTGGATTAGTGTCACATTTTAAATCAAGCTTTTCTCTGCCCTGTTTATATAACATACAGATACAAACTTTTGCATTTTTGATAAATCTGGCTTTTTCTCTATCAGCATTTGATAAGGGGTTTCCCTTTTTGCTTATTAAAGTATTTGTTTTGTGTTATGGCTGCCGTTCCATCTTTTGATGTGACTATGGAGCTGATGTCTAGTGCTTTTTTGTCATTTTTTCTTAAAGGACCAATATTGTGTATTTGTACAATATTGCATTGTTCGTCTTTTAGTGATAATCTCATTAGTCCACTGTTAAATTCCCTTTTGTTCAGAAAGCTATCATCAGTAAATTAGCTCGCACAAATATATAAGTCCAATCATGTTTTAAGAACCTTGTCATCCATGGGAAGCTTAAAAAGAGGGTAGTCTCCTTGACATCTGAAAATCCATTTCCTCAAAGACCTTTTTTAATCTGAAAAGTACTGGACTGAGAAGCTGTTAGAATTGCTAGCTCAGCAGATGTGGTTTCACCAGTTGTTTGCTAGTTGTTGCTGCCAATAGCCTGCAGGAGTCCTGGGGCGGGCCGGGGTGCAGGGCAGGCGTGTTCTGAGATGCAGAAGTTCAGCTTGGAGACACAGCCCAGAGGAGGAGCTGAACCTAAAAGGTGGTTCTAGGGACAACCAGCTGTTTTTGTTCTCCTGCCTAGCTGCCTCAGGACAGCACATGATTTCTCAAATATGCATGAATGAGTCAAAGCCAGACTCTGGGCATGTTTTTGATGAGGGGATAATGTCATAACATGATATGGAGCTCAAAAAAAGTTGATTTTACATTATTTTGAAATGAAATGAAATGAAACAAAATTTATTCGAACATGATACAATATAAAAATAAAATAGTGCACAGTAACAARAAGCCCCTTTAACAGGGTTGGAAAATCTCGGCACATGAACTCAGTCCCATTGTCTGATCTGATACATTTTATGTTTTTAAATGGGTCAATATCCACTAGAAATTTCTTTGTTGCATGCACTGTATCAGTTTTTCACTTTAGAAAATATACAAACACTACATTTGAAGTGGCTAATGGACCTACTAAATCTGTATCAGGATTTCTGTTTTGAGTTTGTTCAGACTTTACCCTAAATACAAGCTTCACATTCCTTTTCAGGCTGGTTTCCCCTAATCTATATACCATTTATCACACTGCAAATTTTGCACATCATCATAAATGCAATGGCCCAATATCTTGTGCCATGTCTAAATGTCATGACAGGTGTTACACTTATTTTATTCAAACTCAGCTTGTAAATAGCACAACCTCCTGTGTACGTTAACGTTAAAGTTAGTACCATCTTTGTGTGTCAAATATCCTGTCCCTGTTTAAAAGTGAATATTGCTCCTTGTGTGGTGGTTGACTACTGAGAAAATGTCCTGTGGGTACAATGAATTAAACAGTGCATTACTCAGCATTGCTCTGCATCACTGCCCTGCATGGTCAATCAGAAGTACCTGGCATTACCACCTTTTAGCCAAGATTCTGGCATTTATGTAAAAGAACTTAATTAAAGCAGAAAACCGGGGGTTTGGGCTAAAAAGATTAAGAAACCAATTGGYGGGATGGATTTTGGTAACTGCCAGTTCAGTAGCCCTGCTGTATATTTGTTACACTCCAAACTATTTATTTTTTATGGCTAACATTTTTTAATTTCTTACTGAGCAAAAACAGAGTTGACATACAGTATGACTTAAAGGTTTATTTGTAAGGATTACCCAACACTTTGTGAGACATTAGTTTCAACAGGTTTTAGTTGTAATTATATTGTCATTCAAACATTGATCAATTGTTTTTGCATAAGAAAGAAAGTTATCACTAATGAGAGCTCCAAATGCATCGAGGCCACATAACAGAGGAAACACACCTGAAGTGGTTTTAAGAACTACCTCTGTAATACAGTATTTACACAAGTGCACATAATTTAGAAGAGAAAATAATTTTGTTGACTTTTTTTAGCTTTCATGCCTTTTTTCATTTCAGCTGTTATTGCTAATAAATTATTCTGATTTTTCATTTTATTAGGAGCATCTGAAGAATTATATTACAACAGCTCTGACACAAATTTTACTTTTACATTGCTTTAAGTTACATTTTGTAGTTTAGATTATTTGTTCAGAATTTAGGTATAAAATGAAAAACATTTTAGATTATATGTGAAACATTTTTTACACTACTAAAATAT